CACCGCTCAGCCGAGGCTTTAACCACCAAACCACAATCTGAAACGATGCAACCGACAAATGGCAGAAAGCTGCAGGTTTCTGAGCCCGAGTCTGAACCGTCAGAGGTTTTATAGATCCTAAGAGTCACATGTCTGATGGTGTCTGACACAGAAACGCTTTAAATTCAGCCTCCAACACTGTGAAGACAAATCACAACATCCGCCAGAAAAATCTAAAATAGTCTCGTCTGTGTTTGGTCGTCGTCTTCAAACTCACCGATGTTCCTGCATTTCACAGCTTTGCAGCAATAATTTCACTTTCTGTGACTGATATAATGAAGATAATAAAACTATCAGGTAGAATCACGCCAACATTTAATGGCATTGAGTGTTGATGACATTAAAACTTCTCAGAAAGATGAACTTGTTTTGGGAGGAAAATATAAAAAAAAAGGTCAATAAGTAATAAAATCATGATGCTGTTTATCCTAAAATACATAAATATGTTGTTTAGATGCAACATTCCCTCAAAAAAGAAGCAAATAACTACATCTAATACATATTTATCACCAGCTGCATGTTGCTGAGTCACATTATAATTTAAGTTTTATGTAGTTTCAGAGCAAAGCTGCAAAAATAAATCGATTAGTTGGATTAATCTGCGTCTGTTTGGATCGTTGGTTCATCAGTTTGAGCAAAAAAAAGTCTAAATTCTCTAATTGCGGTTTCTTAAATGTGAATATTCCCTTTTTTTTCCTCCTCTCTGGCAGAAAACTGAACATTTTTGGGGCAAAACAAGACATTTGAGAAAACATTTTGTAGTTTTCTGACATTTTTAACACCCAGCAACTCATTTGGAGGATTAATTAATCAGTTTGAAGAAGAGAATTCTGTGACTGCAGATTCTTAAATGTGATGTTTTTCCTTTACATTGAAGCAGAAAAGGAACAAACTGATGCAGAACAGTTCACCAGAATGCAGGAAAAGTGTCGTCTTGCGCATAAATTAGGGAAAAAATAGATTTTTGATATGAATATTTACATAAATAGATATTTTAAATGGATATTCTGATCTAATTTTGCGTTGCTTTAAATCAATAAAGAAACTTTTTGCATAAATTGATGCAAAAAAAAGCATATTACAGCAATAAGCACTGATCACATCGCAATAAAACCTGATTTCTAGTTCAGAAATTCATTATTCCTGATGATCTGTTCTGTTTTTTAATGACTAAATCTGCGTTATTTTATAGTTTTCAGGTTTAGATTCAGGAAGAAAGCAGCTGATGTGGTTGGAAAAGATGAAAAACGCTGCAACGATTCACCGATTAGAGTCAAACTATTGAATTAATCGAGTGAATTTTGCAGTAAAACGATCCAAAAATGTATAATTCAGCTCCTTAAATGTGAATATTTTCTGGTTTCTTTGCTCCTCTGTGGCAGTAAAGTGAATGTTTTTAGGTTGTGGAGACACTGAAGGACATTTTTCACCATCTTCTGACCTTCCAGACCAAACAGCTGATCTGAAACAGTCCAGAGCTGCAGATCAAAGCCGGGATCAGACAGCGAGGCTCTGCTGCTGCCTTCTGCCTTCGTCACCTTCGGCTGCGTAAATAATGCAGCGCAGTCATCGGCTGATTATTGAATTATTCAGCGGGCGAGCGGATCACGAGATAGAAGGTCCGAGCAGAAGACGCCTCCCGGCCCGGCCAGAAGCCGTGAGCCCGGGTCGGTCCGGTCGCCTCCTTATGGGGAACCCACGACGTCTCATTAACCTGCAGCTGGTTCAGACTCTGCATCAGCCGCCAGAGTTCTGCTGTTTAACGCTGAACAACTCGTCAGATAATCAGCCTTCGTTAATGGTTCTGTTCTGACTCACGCTGACCCACCAGGACCTCAGCTTCTCTGTCACTTTTACATTCTGAGTCATTTTTGATCAGCATCAAGTGAACGTGGTTCTCATCTCGTTCTGGACTCGTTTCAGGTTGTTTTGGACACATTTGAAATCACTTTGGTCCATTTTTAGCACATTTTGAGCACATTTCAGCTCATTTTGGAAACGTTTCTGAATAATTTTGGACAGATTAGAAGTAATTTTGGTCTATTTTTAAGAGTTTGAACACATTTTATGTCATTTTGGACACGTTTAAAGTCATTTTAGTCTGTTTTAAACATGATTTGACCACATTTAAAGTCATTTTGGGCAATTTTTAGCTCATTTTGGACATGTTTCTAAATCATTTTGGACACGTTTAAAGTCATTTTTGTTTGTTGTTAACTGTTTGAGCACATTTCATGTCATTTTGGACAGTTTTTAGCTCATTTTAGACAGATTAAAAGTAATTTTGGGCAAGCTTTAAGTCATTTTTGTCTGTTTGTAACAACATTTAAGCACACTGCAAGCACTTTTGGATGGTTTTAAGCTCTTTTTGGACAGATTTAAAATAATTTTGTACAAGTTTTAAGTCATTTTGGTCGATTTTTAACAGTGTGAGCACATTTCAAGTCAATCTGGATAGTTTTTATCTCATTTGGTCTGTCTTTAACACTATTTAAGCGCATTTCAAGCCGTTTTGGACAGTTCTTAGCTCATTTTAGATAGATTAAACGTAATTTTGGGCAAGCTTTAAGTCATTTTGGTCTGTTTTTACCACAGACTGACCACATTTCAAGTCATTTTGAATGATTTTTAGCTAATTTTGGACAGATTTGATGTAATTTTAGTCTGTTTTTAACACAGTCTGAGCACAATTTACGTCACTTTGAGCTGTGTAAAATTAATTTTGGACAATTTCGGATAATTCGGGAAACTTTTCAAGAAGTTTTGGACACATTTTATATCATTTTGGACCATTTTTCAAGCTCAGTTTGGGCAAATTTCTGAAGTGTCATCATTTTGGACAGGCTTTCAGTCAATTTCTGTAAAGTCTGAGTCCTTCACGACACGTTTATGAGTCACTTTGGACCATTTTTAACTAGTTTTTGACAAACTGAGTCGTTTTGTACATTTTTTTCAGTCACTGTTCAGCAGTTTGCACCACTTGCTCTTCAGACCTGGTTTCATATGTTCAGGCTTTACGAGGTCTTTTTCACACAGCGTTCTGATTTACTGTCTGGTCACGATTCAGTAATATTTATTAATGCTGCAAAACCTTTGAAACGGAAATTCTTACCTGTTAAATGAAACTAAACATCAGTGTGATTCTTCCTGTGTTTCTGTCTGACAGATATCTGGATTTAATTTACAGTTAAATTTTCCTAAAGTCATCCTTCAGTTCAATTTTCACTGTCATAGATTTGAAACATGCAACACCATCAGAAGTCTGCTTAACAAACTAATTGCATTGTTTTAAATTTATTACTGTAAAAAATACTGAAGTTTTAAATTGTAATTTTTAAAAACAATTTACTGCTATTTTACAGAATTTCTCTGTTTTGTTAAATTACAGACAGCAACGAGTAAAAATCACAATAAAATTAATAGTTTACATGTTAATAGTTTAAATAATGTTCACATCAAAAATCATGTATTTATGTATGTATTTATTTATTTATTGGTAATTTGTTCTTTTAAAATGTTTGAACACCAAATATCATTATTATTATTATTTATTTATTTTTTACTGTATTTGATTCAGCACACATGTTCCTTTACAGATGTACGCTGTTCTTTGAAAGAAAAAATATGTAAATTAAATATTGAAAAATAGTAAATATTTTTTAAACTATGATACAGATAACATGTACAAAAACTACATGCTAAGTGTTTTAAAAAATATTTAATTATTTTTTTTAAAAAAAGAAACAGGCCAAAACACTCAATAATGTCCACATCAAAAATAAATATTTGTATAAATAGGAACTCATTCTTTTCACATTTAGCTGTAAAATCACACTATTTATGTCATATTTAAATCAGCATAAATACCATTATTTTATGGATATCTGCTTTAATTTGAAGAAAAATGATGTATATTAAAGACTGTGAAATGGTAAATTCTTAAAACTGCTGTTTTACTGATTTCCCTGTTTTGTTAAATTACACATAATAACGGTTAAAATCACATGAAAAGGGTTTTAATTTACATATTAACCATAAAAACAGGCCAGAAGTCTAACTAATGTCCACATCAAAAATATGTATATTAAGGATTGATAATTGGTCATTTTCTCCTTTTCAACATTTTTGAAATTACACTGTTTTGCTGAAATTCAATCCGCTGAAAAAAAGTAAAAATCTTTCACAGATGTTTCTTGGTTTTGTAGTTGCTGAACATATTTTTTTCTGCCTGTAGTGTCATTAAATGTGCAGAATTTTTCTCCAAATTACTGTCAAGTTGAATTATAAAGCTGAACCCAAACTGCAGATAATATCGAGTAAAATCTCAGAAATAAAAGTAACCATTTACATGTTGACTGTTTTTTTAAAAATGGTAAAACTGTGAATAATGTCCTGCTTTGTTTTACAAATATTAATTTGTCCTTTTACAATAAAATCACACTGTTTTGCTGCATTTAAATCAGCTAAAAATATCTTTATTTTATAGACATTTGCTGTTATTTTCACCAGTTTTTACAGTTTTTGACTCTTCCAGTGTTCCTCTGTTTTAACATGTTTTTTTTTACTGTGTGTTTTTACAGTGTAGTGTCGTAACAAGTACCAGATTTGCCTTCAAATGATCGTAGAGCTGAAGTATAAAGCAATATTAGAAAGCCACCCTGAGCCCTTTCTGGCTGCAGCTCAGGTGCTTTAAAGCCTCTCACATGGACATCTGTGCACATTAGAGTCTGCTTCACTGTGAATTTGAGGCTAAAAGGCTTCACGTTAGCACGAGGAGCTGGATTCTCCCCTAAATTATGACCTGCTCTGTCTTTTTCCATCAATGGAGGGGTCACCGGAGGGGTCATCACTATGGTAACGTCAACCCAATATGGCACCACACCCATGTAGAGGAGCGGACCAGTGAAGGTGTGTGTGCTGTGTGTCCGTGTGCGGCCTGCTGGGGCCTGATGCTCACTTACAGTCCAGGTGCTTCTTCTTGGGCGCCATCACTTCGTGCGTGGTGGCCTTGCAGACCGCCCGGGCCATGTCCGAGCCCGTCAGCTGGTACTGCGCAGCGGCGATGCGATCCGTGAGCGTCTGCCCCGACATTTTCTCTCCGCCGATGCGACCCCCCCTTTAGGAATTTATCTCAGCACGGGACGATGTGTGTGGGGAGAAAAAACCACGGATGTCGCCCTGCAGCCTCCCGGTGCTGGTGCTGGATCCTTCCTCTCCGGGCCTGTGACCTTCTGTGTGGGCGGATAATAAAATAAATCGCAAAAAAAAAAATATGAGCCAACAGAAACGATATTTTGCGCCTGGAATCGTGCGGTCACGTTGATAATGTGCGCCGTGACATGAGTGGACTTACGCAAGGTGGTGAATTCCCCACGGCTCGTCCCGTTATAGGCTCCGTTCAGTTCAGCACCTTGGACAGCTAAAGCCACCCGGTTATGTAACACTCAGCTGACGATGGACGCGGTTCTGTCACCCCGCAGCCAACACAGAGAAATAGGCCAATGTATGCAAAACGCTGCACGAGCGAGGCTTCCTCTGATCCGCAATAAAAAATAGAAAATAAAAAAAAATACTGCTGGAAAAATGTGAATCAACCCTCCAGAGGTCGCTCAGATATCCGGTTCGGAGCGCGCATCGGCACCGTGCGTAAAAAACACAAAATCTGTCAAAATGAGCGAAGAAGCCGCAGTGTCCTGTCAGACTGCGGCGTTTCTGTCTCCCCCGTGCGCGTTTCGGCTTCAGATCCTCCGCTCCGCTCCTCAGACCGACAGGAAAAATGCGCACCGCTCCCCGGTGGTGTCGCCAGCACTGCGCAGCGCACGATGCTGGAGCAGGAACAGGCAGGAGGGAATTTCCTCTCCTCCTCCTCCTCCTCCTCCCCCCTCCTGTCGCTGGTTTATTTATTCGGCCTCTCAGTGTGTCCACGTCCTCCCCCCAGCGGGCTGCCGGACAGGACGCCTCTTTAAGGGGAGGGGGGCACCGAGCTGTTAAATGCGCCAAAGGGTTAATGGAAGAGCGTGACTGGGGCTTTTCTTTTGCGCAGCGCACGGGTTTGCACGCAGCTCACGATGAAGGTGAAGCTTTTTTTTTTTTTTTTTGCTCATCACGCTTCTCTTGGATTTGCGGTTCAGATACCCTGGACTCCAACATAGCGACCCACAGCATCCTACTGCAGCATTTTCTTGCACCCAGGCTCCATATTTGCGCCAAAGAATGCATTTTAATTTTATTCTTTAAGATATTTTTTGTCTAAAAATGCGTCATAAAGCAAATAAAATGTTGTTCTTTTAATAAAACGTGAAATAAATACTGAAAAATGTGGTGATTTGGTGCGTTTGCGCAGCCCTGCATCGTCAGGAGGAAGGGGAGAAAAAAAAACGTGCTCGACGTGTTGCGTCACGTGACTTTCCCGGAAGTGCGGCCACGTCTCACTGAGAAGGCGGAACCGGAGAAGCAGGAAGCTCCTGAGCAGCTGTGAGCAGCAAAAACACACAAAAGTAGGTGAAATAAGGACTATTTAGTACAGCAACGTTTCAACGCGATGTGTTTTAGTTTTAGAGCCGGAAACTTGATTTTAGTTGTGATTTGTTGTGACTGAACTCTGAGGAACTTGTTCTGTCATTCAGCTTCTGTGATTCATGTTATTGAGCTCTTATCTGCTCAGCTGGAGACTCATCTCTGCTGCTGACTTTGCCCTCCTGTGGTGCTTCTAGGTCGTGTTTAGCTGCTTTTAGTGGCTGTTTGTTGGCTGTTTGTCACGTTTTAATAAAACTGGAGGAAAGTAACTAAGTACATTTACTCAAGTACTGTACTTAATTACAGACTTGATGCGTTTTATTTGAGTATTTTTGTGTTCATTGTACTTCTCCTCCACTGCATTTTCATTGAAGTATTGGAAGATATTGTACTTTATTAGCATTAGTTGTTTAGGTTCAAATCAGGGCTAAACAGAAGGAGGATTACTCTGACAGATATTACAATTTAATTTGTAATTTATTTAAAGTCTAGCGTCGGTTCTGTGATAAGCTGTGATAGAACATTAACCCAAAGCATTAAAGCCTTTTACGTTTGCTGATTGCTTTGATTCAAGCTGCATTTTTTTTTCTTTATCCATCCTATAGCTCACATTAATAATATAAAATATAAACAGATGTGTGCTCTGTTGTAGGTTAAGCCATCCAGAAGTAAATAAAAGTTAAACATACTTCAACATGTACATGACGGACACACTAATGACTCAATAATTATAATCCTGTTCTGTCATAGCTCTGATTCTGAAGTGATTTCTGCACTGGAATAGACTTAAAACAATAATGACAGCTAACTGGAAAAATGCTGGATATCAGATCCGATGATAATCAATCAACCCCAACGTTCTACTGATGACTCCTGCAGTTGATTTAACTCAGAGCGCTGAAGGAAAGAACGCAGGCTGGTGCATCTAAAGTCAATCAAATTGTAAAACAGCCTGAGTTGACCAAAGTGCTGCAAGTTATGAGACAAATATGTGCAAAATACAAAAACAGAAAACAGAATAAAAACAAAACACATATAAAAACAGAACAAGATGACTACTTGTAGAGGCATTTTCTAAATTAAAATACATATAAAGTAATAAAACAGTAAAAGTATTAAGCAACCAAAAGCCAAAGAAAACATCCACATTTTGAGATTTTTTAAAATATTCGTGTCGTAGTTCAGAGCAACTGAGATCTATATGTAAATAGTTTGTGCCAGAGTTTGTCACTGCATTGATTTGCACGTTAAGAATTAAAAAGAAAACATTATTATTTCCTTTGCATCAGAAAGTTAACACCTGGTATAATAACGCAGGAGTTATTTTTCTGCGTTCTCAGATTTTACTTCTCATATTTTTGGAGCTCTTGTACTTCTCTCAGTAGTTCTACTTTACTTGCTGCTTCCTTCACCGACTGACTGGTGGTTTTTGTTCCAGCGATGGCCCAGTTCCAGGAGGTATCAAAGCAGTCCGGTCTGCACCCTAAACCCGCAGGCCTGGTTCTGCAGTACGGAACCGCCGGCTTCAGGACCAACGCCAAACTGCTGGACCACGTCATGTTCAGGATGGGCGTTCTGGCCACGCTGCGCTCCAAAAAGACCAAAGCCACCATCGGCGTCATGGTGACGGCGTCGCACAACCCCGAGGTGAGACGGAGGTTCAGGTTTAACAGTCTGCTTTAGGATCTGCTCCAGCTCATCCCGGTCTTTCTCTCTTTTTGCATCTGCAGGAGGACAACGGCGTGAAGCTGATCGACCCGATGGGGGAGATGGTGACGCCGGCGTGGGAGGGATACGCCAGCCAGCTGGCCAACGCAGAGCAGGAAGACCTGCTCGCGGCTCTGAAGGACATTATAGAGAAGGAGGCCATAAACATGAGCCAGGAGGCCAACGTGTTTGTGGGAAAAGACACCAGGTACGTAGCCTGAACTAAATCTAAAACAGATTAACCCTGAAAACCCAGCAGCAGCTTTAAAAGGCACGTTGTCTTTGAAAAAAAATGCCAAAATGACACCATTTAACACACAGATTTGTTGAATTTTTCACTTTCCGACAGTCTTTACCATCTGTGACGTGCTGCTCCATCAGAACACGAAACAAATTTAACCTAAAAATCAGGATAATTTGTTAAAATCACTGAATTCTACATGTCTCATTTTTAAAAATGCCGCAAAAAACATTGGTTTGCATCGGATCCTGTTTAAAACAAAACAATACGACGCTCCTCTGTGCAACTGACAAGCTCGAGTGATTCAGCTCTGACCAACAGTAGTTTGTTTTTAATGCTGAAACAGCACAACTTGTCAAAGCCAGAAATGATAAAAACAGGAAGAATCATTAGAATCTTGAGCTAAACCTGCACGAGGGGCTGTTTGATCAGAGGAATTCACCAAATCTAAGCTTATGATCGTGATATATCATCAAATTCATTCTTCATGTCTTATTTTAAACATTTTAAAAGTTAGCACT